GTCTCGATCGAAATACTACTCTAGCTGTTTAGAGAGCCAAAATCTCGAGCGTGATGATTGACGAAATAGGGTGTGGACAATGGTCGGGAAATGATCAGTTACTCGAGGAGGTCCGACTTCTCAAGGCTAGGATCCAGAATTCAGGGTTGTCGAGGAGAAGCGAGACGGAGCGAGCGGGATAAATCGAGCGAAATAGAATTGAGAGCGCATAGATGAGCGCAGTGTCGAGAGAAGTAAGCTCGAGATGCTGATGAGCTCAGATCCGCTCGTTCGTTTTGTCCCCCGCGATTTCTGCGCCAGTAATATCCCTCACGGCTAATTGTTCGACGCTTCTTCGACTTTTCCGGCAGTATCTGATGTGTCTCTTCGAGTGTCAACCGAAACTTCCGACTTTTTGTGCTGCCTCCTTTCCTTTGCGTGAATCCGGGTCGTATACCTATTTGAAATCTTCATTCTACGGATTGGTCATTCTATGGTTCTTTTGAGGAGTTCAGGCGCATCCGCCCGCGCAGGCGGATCGGCTGAAGATGATGCTGGTGATCTCCGCCTGGATGCCCAGAAAAACACAATCGACTTGACTGTGGCCGGTCTCGGCTCTTCGAACACTCGTTCAGCGAGAAAGTAGGTTCATACTCTGGCGTGAACGTCGTTCGAGCGCCCCGGTCTCGAGAGAACCAGCACGCCGGATGAAGTGTCGAGGGTCTTATTAGCAAGGTGATCGATCTTATCTCGGGAGTCAGCGAGGTTTCCGCATGAAAATGCGCTTCGGGAGGTGAGCGATGGGAGATATCCAGCCACGTGCTCTTGTTGTTGTTATTGTTGATGGATTGACGATATCAGGGAGATGGGCACTCGAATAATTCTGACTTCATTCTCCCGGTACGAGGTCTGCGCCAGAAGTACCAGAGGCCCTAGTGAAGGAGAGACTGAAGGGACTCCTAAAGAGAGCTTCACTCGGTGTGGCAGAATCCACGAATGCAGCCAGCGAATCGAGAAAGTCCGGAGCGCGCGTGAAAACATGTGATTCAGAATCAGACAGTGATGATGCTTGCGCCTTGGACAAACCCGATGAGGGAGCCCGTGGCAATGTCGATGAGGAAAGTAAGCGTCGCAAATCAGGAATCAGGTCGAATCGGAACAGTTTATTGCCGAGTAGACTGCATAATCGGTGGAAAAGGAGACCGGTGAGAGCAAACGTCGCAGTTGTGAGGAAAGAATCATTCAACCATAATAGAGGAGACTATAATTCCCAAAATCCTTCAATTTTTCATGCGTCAGGGGGAGGACGAGGCGATAAAAGCCCCATCGAAAGAGAACAAAGAGGAATCTTCGGATGATTCGACCACCGAGGACGAACCTCCGTCGAAGAAACGGAAGTGAGTTTGGCAGCCGGGCCGATACGAGCTTCGAGCAGGATTTTGCAACACCACGAAGTAAGCCGTCGCTCGTTATCAGATACTCTAACTCCGACCTCATTCCACAGGCTGAAACGAGAGAAGACGGATCCTTCAGCGAAAACCACGGAATATGTCGTGCAGAGTTCCAGTCAGTCGTCCTCGGAGGACGAAAGTGCAGCTAGGTGTGTATCTCCCGCCCCCCCCCCCCCCTTGCGCAGGGGTCACGGGACTGCATAGGCATCGTTAACGCCTGAGACGCTGCTCAATCGATTTTGTCAATCTCAGGTCACCGACGAAACCAGTTCAGGAAAAGATTCCCCACTCCGAGGCAGAAGCTGGAAGTAAGTATTTACTGCAGCCGATTTCCAGTCGTACGTGGAAGCAGCTCTGACAATATTTGACAAGGTGACTGAAACGCTCTCAATCTTCCAGCGGAACCTAGAGCAGAGGAGGAACCCGATGAAGTGTTTTTCCAACCTCTCGGTGCTGACACCAAGGTCGAGAAAAAGGCAGCCCTCGTGGCCGGTCTTCCGCTCTGGGTGAAACAGGCGGTGCCCGTATCCGCAAAGGTGACAAGATTTCTCTCTCGGGACTCAATCCTTCCGGGCTACGACGAATCACGGAATAGCTATGACCCCAAATTCCGCGATTGCTTTCCTACCGAGCTCTATGATTACAGGTAGAAGCATGCGGCAATCTAGACGAAGATGTGGACGTCCTTGGCAAATCCTTGATTCGTCTACTGCGGGATGATGGCATAACGGGTCTTTTCCCGATGCAAAAACAGGTGATAAGGTGAGCTTAGCCTCCGTCGGGAAGGAACCCGGCAGAGCGACTTTGAAGTTTTGATGTGTTTTAATGTCGTCCGATGCGATCTCCTCTCGGACGTTCGATAACGCCTGCTTTGTCCATCTACAGAGAACTTCTAGATCCACGTTACGATATTATGGGCTTGCCGCCGAGAGACATCTGTGTGGCCGCGCCAACTGGAAGCGGAAAAACGCTAGCCTACGTTTTGCCCCTGATCAAATTGTTGAAGGGGCTCTTCGAGAAAGCCATCAGAGCTGTGATCCTCCTTCCAACTTCGGAGCTGGCAAAACAGGTGGGCCGATTCCCCGGGATATCGTCGAATCGATGTATGAGAGGAGTCACAAGACTCGCGGGGATTCGCGATCCGGCGGTTCCCAGGACTTGGTCCGTAAGATGCATCGAACTTTACCAGCTACACTTCCACAGGTCTACGATGTTTTCACGCGCTACGCAGCGCCTTTCCAGCTATCCGCAGCTCTACTGACGGGTCTGAAGAGCCATTCCGAAGAAGTGAAAACATTGCTCGAGAGAGGTATGTGCAAGTCTTTCTTCAAGTCGTCGATCTTGACGAACTCATTGCCTGTCTCCCATCCGTGTCGACCGGCCACGTCACGGGGAGCCCCTGCTCAGTTTGAGAACTAGAACAGATTTCGATTCTTCCCTCAGGGCATCCGATAGTAGATGTTGTCATCGCGACCCCCAAAACCTTTCTGAATCACTTGAGATTGACTCCGGGTTTCAATTTGAGACTCGTCAGTCATTTGGTGCTCGACGAAGCGGATCGCATGGTCGACATGGTCATTCATGGGTGAGTTTTCAGCTCTCGCTTTCCTTCTGGCAAACGGATAACGGATCGGTCGAATAAGATGTGTAAGATATTCCTTTTCCCCGCAGTCTCATCCGGGAAGTGGAAAATGCCATTTATGTGGATGACTCGGCGCGCTGTCGTTGTTCGGAAATCGGGAATTTCGAACGTTCCCGACCCACCGCCATAAGTTGCTGCACCATGGATGCTCACAGCCTTCCGTTGCGCAAACTCCTCTACTCAGCGACTCTCATGTCGGACCCTGAGAAGTTGCGTCACGTAAATCTCTTCTATCCCCGAGTGTTCCACGCGAAAGCTGAGCATGCGAACCGATCCGACAAAGCCTTCGCCCTCCCCGACTCCCTCGAGGAACGAAAGATCTTCTGCGATATCGATGTTCGACCTCTTCTGGTGTGGTGGCTCTTCGTTCATCAGAAAATGGGTCGCATGATTGTGTTCGCGCGATCCCGTGAGGAGTGTCATCGACTCCGAATCGTTATTGAATTCATGGGTAGTTGCAAGGTCGTGGATCTCAGCGCCGATATGAAGAAACGGCAGCGACAGAAAGCGTTGGCCGATTTCGACGAAGGTATTCCACTCTACTCATCATGTATGACTAGAAGCCTCGACTTCCGTCACGGCCTGTGACCATAGCGGTGATTTCCCGCGTAGTTTCGGGTAGTTTCATTCACTGTTCCCGATGGGTGGTCGAGAGTGCCGCGCATTCCCGGCTCGAAGGCCGTGACGGGGGCCGAGCGCTTATTATGGATAATTCGTAAACTGAGAGAGGTTTGTGAGTGCCTCCTATTACACGCACAGAGATTCTCGGTTTCAGGACTTTGCGACATGATCATTGCCACGCAAGTTCTCTCGCGAGGAATGGATCTCAAGAGTGTCGAACATGTCGTACTCTATCACGCACCGACTTCCGCAGAGGATTATGTCCACATGGTTGGCAGAACAGCTCGAGCAAACAAGCAAGGGAAATCGTTGGTGTTGCTAAGTCCCGCTGAGAACGCCAAACTATCAAAGTGAGTTGATTCCTCCCGTCGGCCGCGTCTCTTCGCCTCTCTTCGCCGATCTGTCCACGAAGATTTGCTCAACGATATGATCCTCGCTCATTAGAGAATCATTCTACGTCTCGTTCCAGAACTCTGAAAGCGATATCCAACAGCAAGGTGAAGGAATTCCAATGGGATCCGTCGAGCTTGAGAGAATTCTACCAGAACTACGAAGCAGCTCTGGCTTCCGCCAGGAAGGCCATCCACCCAAAATTGAAAACTAAGACATGACGCTCCCATGGCGATAGTATTGTATTGTGATGATTCATGTAATAAACGGCTTCCCGGAAAATCCCGCCATGATGAGATTCGCTTCTTTAGAACGGGGATCGCGGCGTTTCTAGTTAGCGATTATTGCCTATCCGGGCTATCCACAGCGCCAAGAGGCAGAGTCGTTTACCCGCGAATCTTCTCTTAGTCACGGTTCGAATAAATCAATTACCTTGGCTGGTCGGAAAAAAACGAGGGAAAATCCGACGCAGATGACATCGCTCCTCCCGAGCGTACTCCTCTCGCAATCGAGAGTTCCGGTCTGAACTTTGATCCTGCGATATTTCTCTCGATTCATCCGCAGATCCGAGCCAGACGTTTCGCGGAACTGCAATCGACATCAGCGATTGCGTTCGACATCTCATCAAGCGATATGCCCCGCCTCGTAGAGTAGGTCCACGTCATGGATCTAATTTGCTTCGGGGCGAAATCCTCGGAGCCAGCATCGAGCCGGTCAATAATCTGAAGAGGCTCCCGTTGCACCAAGGATATACCTCAGGAGGCGATCGACGGGATCGCGTATGGAATCACTGTGGAAAGAGGATCCGATTGATGCAATGACTTGTTTGTGTCCGAGAATACTTATACATATATCCAATGATGTTTTCTCTCGTACAGGTTGTGTGACGCTCTCTATTGAGGGTCTCCTCTCTAGAGAGGCCCA